ACACACAACACACACACACACACACACACACACACACACACACACACACACACACACACACACACACTTCACAACACCTGCTCTCTGTTTCCACAGTGATCCGCTGCATGAGTTTCCATAACTCCAGGCCCCTGTGTCTAATCGATAATGCTAATATTTATACTGGAAAGCCTCTTATGACGGACGCTTCATTCCATTTGTGCCTGACAGTATGCGTCTGATCCGCACGCCGCTTCATGCGCTATAACACTCACACGGGCAGATGGCCATCGATCTGTTAGTTAACCACTAAATTAATCTTCTGTTTTATATGCAACGGCTTCATCATATCTGATATAACTACTGTTTACCGAGTGACAGAAAGCATAGACTTTACCTGGAACTGCCAGAATGCACTTGATACAGATCTGAATATCAACACAGAGACACACACACACACCCGGGCTGTCACACACCTGCTGTTTTGATTGAAACACTCTTGCACTGGTGGGATACGGGATGGCTGGTTAACCAGTAGCATGAACCCACTCATCTGTGTATGAGGGCTGGTTAAAATATGCTGCCAGTACAAACAATGTTTTGTTTTATGGTTCTTTATTTGATCTTCTCGTTTACAGCAGGTGTAGCTCGTGTCGGACAGCAATCACAGATCCGGGGCTCCGAGGGGACGGGCGGTTAGCGTGGTCTGGCGCTGGTAATCTCTGGGGTTTTGGGTCAGTGTCACGCAGCTGCCCTGTAATACCCGCACAAAGAAGCCTTGTTCTGAACTCTAATCCACGGCCGTAAACAGCACACAGTTTACACTAACCTCAGATGGGTAGAGTCCTTTCAGATGTTAAACAAGAGGAACATGTTCTCCAACTGAATTCATTTGCTAAACATTAGATTCTTTAGATCTTTCTGGAGGTTTGCTGTTGTTTGTTGTTTTTTGAAGCTAAAAAAAACTTCCTTGTGTCACCACAGATAACTCTTTCTGACTCTGAGGCGCCTCTGTGTCAAAGACAATATTTCAAGGCTCCCTGAGATATTTCTGGTACTTCTGCGCTTAAAAAAAAGAAAGCTCATTTTCAAAATAAGAGTGGCAATGTAAATTAGTTGAATTACATCTTTATATATATACTGAACAAAATTATAAACGCAACACTTTTGTTTTTGCCCCCATTTTTCATGAGCTGAACTCAAAGATCTAAGGCTTTTTCTATGTACACAAAAGGCCTATTTCTCTCAAATATTGTTCACAAATCTGTCTAAATCTGTGTTAGTGAGCACTTCTCCTTTGCCGAGATAATCCATCCACCTCACAGGTGTGGCATATCAAGATGCTGATTAGACAGCATGATTATTGCACAGGTGTGCCTTAGGCTGGCCACAATAAAAGGCCACTCTAAAATGTGCAGTTTTATCACACAGCACAATGCCACAGATGTCGCAAGTTTTGAGGGAGCGTGCAATTGGCATGCTGACTGCAGGAATGTCCACCAGAGCTGTTGCCCGTTCAAATAACAGGTGCAGGAATCGCATACAGGTACACACACACACACACACACACACACACACACACACACTTCACAACACCTGCTCTCTGTTTCCACAGTGATCCGCTGCATGAGTTTCCATAACTCCAGGCCCCTGTGTCTAATCGATAATGCTAATATTTATACTGGAAAGCCTCTTATGACGGACGCTTCATTCCATTTGTGCCTGACAGTATGCGTCTGATCCGCACGCCGCTTCATGCGCTATAACACTCACACGGGCAGATGGCCATCGATCTGTTAGTTAACCACTAAATTAATCTTCTGTTTTATATGCAACGGCTTCATCATATCTGATATAACTACTGTTTACCGAGTGACAGAAAGCATAGACTTTACCTGGAACTGCCAGAATGCACTTGATACAGATCTGAATATCAACACAGAGACACACACACACACCCGGGCTGTCACACACCTGCTGTTTTGATTGAAACACTCTTGCACTGGTGGGATACGGGATGGCTGGTTAACCAGTAGCATGAACCCACTCATCTGTGTATGAGGGCTGGTTAAAATATGCTGCCAGTACAAACAATGTTTTGTTTTATGGTTCTTTATTTGATCTTCTCGTTTACAGCAGGTGTAGCTCGTGTCGGACAGCAATCACAGATCCGGGGCTCCGAGGGGACGGGCGGTTAGCGTGGTCTGGCGCTGGTAATCTCTGGGGTTTTGGGTCAGTGTCACGCAGCTGCCCTGTAATACCCGCACAAAGAAGCCTTGTTCTGAACTCTAATCCACGGCCGTAAACAGCACACAGTTTACACTAACCTCAGATGGGTAGAGTCCTTTCAGATGTTAAACAAGAGGAACATGTTCTCCAACTGAATTCATTTGCTAAACATTAGATTCTTTAGATCTTTCTGGAGGTTTGCTGTTGTTTGTTGTTTTTTGAAGCTAAAAAAAACTTCCTTGTGTCACCACAGATAACTCTTTCTGACTCTGAGGCGCCTCTGTGTCAAAGACAATATTTCAAGGCTCCCTGAGATATTTCTGGTACTTCTGCGCTTAAAAAAAAGAAAGCTCATTTTCAAAATAAGAGTGGCAATGTAAATTAGTTGAATTACATCTTTATATATATACTGAACAAAATTATAAACGCAACACTTTTGTTTTTGCCCCCATTTTTCATGAGCTGAACTCAAAGATCTAAGGCTTTTTCTATGTACACAAAAGGCCTATTTCTCTCAAATATTGTTCACAAATCTGTCTAAATCTGTGTTAGTGAGCACTTCTCCTTTGCCGAGATAATCCATCCACCTCACAGGTGTGGCACCCTAATCACAAATGACAATAAAAAATCATGTAAATTCATTAATAATGTAAAGCCCGAAAAACATTCAGTTTTTGAAACAGCTTCTGTAATTATGGAATTTTATTATTTCAATGATATTTATTTTAATTATTTCAAGTAAATGTTGTTAAAAATTTAATTTAGTATTATTATTTACTATATTATTATATTATCTACCAGTATATATACATATATATATATATATATATATATATATATATGTGTGTGTGTGTGTAGATAATATAATAATATAGTAAATAATAATACTAAATTAAATTTTTAACAACATTTACTTGAAATAATTAAAATAAATATCATTGAAATAATAAAATTCCATAATTACAGAAGCTGTTTCAAAAACTGAATGTTTTTCGGGCTTTACATTATTAATGAATTTACATGATTTTTTATTGTCATTTGTGATTAGAGTTTTTAAAAATTATTTTTCACTCACAAATAGCAATTTCTCAGGAGTTTCTACCAATACAATGTGTTAGAACTTAACAACTAAAAAAATTATATTTGTTATAGAAATGTCCCTGAATTTTAGAAGTCAGACTTTTAAAAAGAGAGGTGTTGAAGAAATGAGAAATATGACACCAGCTTACATCTTGAGTGTTAGCTGTTTTATTTTGTTTTATTTTAAATTGTTTTAAGCCATCTTGAGGCCCCTAGTGGGCCCCGGACCCCAGAAACAGTGCTCAGAGTCATAAAGGCGTGTTTCAGCATTCAGTCACACCGCAGCGGCTCTACTGCAATCCAGCACCGTAATGCATGTGTTTTTATGTGTGTAATTGGAAAGATTTTTTTTTTCCTGCAGAACATAGTTTGATTGAATTACAGAACACCAAGCACATACTATTAGTAAGTGATTAATTACAGCACAAGCACCAGAAGCATGATGTGCACAAAACTAATCGATTAAGACAAGTGGAAACGTTTGCGCTTGGACTGATAAATATGATATGAAACAAAAACATTGATTAATTACCTGAGCAATGACTGGAGACCGCTAACCCCTCAAGAGTTAATGCTAATGACAGCGTCTCATGCACAGATCACGAGATGCAGTGATGCTGCTGCTGGGGTCAAGGCTAAACGAAGCATAGATACCGGATTGTTTACATTCATGAGCTTATGCAGCATGAGCTTTGTCCCACGTCCAGCAGATCCAACTGTAGTTTTCTGTTGGACTCAAACAGAAGATGTGTTGTGCTGTTGTCTTCAGATAGCAGTGATAATCGGCCATGCCTGTGTGGAAATAACAGCTCCGGGCTGCTGTTTCTCTGAGGACGGCGGAGCTCACCGCATGAAATCTTCTGGAAAATGTCTCTTTTGCGTTTCATGGCATCTGCAGTGCGGACTACAGCTCAATTAAACTCCTGCGTCTGTGTCTAATTGATTTAAGAGTCAGTATAAGGAGCGGATCCTATAGCACAGCTCTTTCATACAGCATTACACTCTATGACGGCATTATGAATCAAATTTATGTGCTGGAGAAAATCTCCTCCCTCCTGATCAAGACGAACCCAGCCTGCCGCTTCTCGCTGGAGCAGACGCCATTGTTTCATTTCCTCGTTAAAGATATCGTTAGCACGTAATTAGCTCGTTTTAGAGCTCGTTCGCCTCATTATACCATCTATTAGAGCTTCACAACTCTGTAATAAAGATCTTCGAATAATATATTTGATTCTCCATCTATGCAATGACCTATTACTATATTACTAAGTATATTACCATTTACTTTCTATGATCTGCTGACCTCACTGCGTCCGTTCTGCCGGCTGCACCCGCCATTAATTACTCTCAAGCCTAGACGAGTTTTCTTTGAGGAACACACAATCTTACAGCTAATTACCCCTAATGCAACTGATCATTAACCGATCAAAGGCAGTTTAAGGGTGTGTTTGTTAATCAAGCGTGTTGGTTAATTGGAATAAGGCTAAGAGACCAGCAGAACCTCTCATTCAGAGAGTGTTTATGTAGGATTCTGGGAATCTGCTGCGTGTTTTATTCAGATTCTTGTACAGCCATCAAATCATCGGAGAGAATTTCTACAGCGCTTCTCTGCCGTGTTGTGACAGGTACGTTAGTCTGCATCAGAACAAGAGCTCCATGTGCTGCAGTTTATATTCTTACAAATGAACTTCTAACAAAGCTGCTCCAGCCACTGAGATGCTTGAAGTCTTCCTTCTGAAGAGTTTGAGAAGTTTAGAAACTGCTAAAATTATTATTATTATTATTTTTGGTAAATATTAAATCATTGTTCTTAATAAATGCCTCACAGAATAAATACCAAAATATGATTAATACGGTGGTCTTTTAATTTACATGCACCAACTGGGAATGTCAAGTTTCTGGAGTGGATTCCTAGCTTAGTACCTACATTTATACATGTTACAAAACATTTGCAACTGTGTCTGGTAGTGTCAGCGGATTCTTCAGTATCTCAGTGATGGAGCACCACCTGCATGTGATCCTGTGTTTGCTCCTCTGATGTTCTTCTGGAACGAGACCTTCACAAACGTCCAGGTCTGGAGGCTTTCACCGGATGCTTCTCTGTGATCACCGCATACCTGCGCTGCTTCAGGTGAACGCTTGTCAAATGAAAGCTTGACCTTTGTGATTTCTCAGGGCAAAGGGAGTCTATAGGATGGGAATATCGGCTCAAATTATTCCGTCTTGACATTTCAGGCCAGTAGTCAGTTTAGCATTCTGGACCCGGACAGGAGGCGAAATGTCACCTTCTTTATTTACTCGGGGAATTCTCCAATTAAACGTGACTTTAAGGCCACATTTGGCCCGTGTGTTTGCTCTGTGTCAGTGAAACTGAAGTGTCCGTCTCATACGGGTGACATTTTCAGTAATGCTGATGTTGACCCTGACAGTAACCTTTTTCCACTCGATTTAGGATCACCTCCTCGCTCTCTGGATCCTCCTGGCTGCTAGAACCATTCGTTCTGACGTGATCAATACAACTTAAAATATAGAGCGATATATCCACACAGGATATCTGGTCTCCTCAAAGAGCCACACTGCCTCTTCATTTGGGAAGATAGATGATCTTTACATTACAGTCTGTTTCTATTGTGTATCTCCTGTTCAATGGACTCCTTTTGTTGTTGGTTTGTAGTGATTTAGAGAGAACGTCCTTCATAAAATCCTTTGCCTCAGCAGTTTCCAGCACTGAGATTTACTTTTAATGAAGCTCTTTGTCCTCTGAGTCTGTTCTCCAATCACTATCAATCACATTCAGATGAGAGAGAGAGTATTATTCCTGCCTAAAACTCACACAACACTCTGCAGGAGTTGCTTTTGAAAATGTAGTTTAGGTGAAGGTAAGAGTCTGTCTGGTCAGCGAGTGCTGGTTTGGTCTATTAAGTTACTCTGTCCAGGTCACACACAGTCGGGTTTGGCTGAAGCTCTGTTTGACGCTGATGTTGGTTTGACCCCTGTGACCTCACTGTAACCTCACTGTGACCTGTGCGTGATGAAGCTGTTGACCTTGAACTAGATCAGGTTAATGCAGAAAACTCAACCACACACTTACTGTATGACCTAAAGACCATGAATGATGGCAAACAAACGTGACCATAAGCTTTTATATGTCTAGAGGGTCTTACATTCAGCTTCAAGATAATTGATTCAGTTCAATTCAAGTTTATTTGTATGGCTACTAAGTTTCATCAATGTATTTAGTAGTAGCTTATCAGTGGTGAGTATGTCAAGTTGATGTACATATGGCAGAAATGTACAGTGAAAATCATGCAGTTAGTTAAAGTCATGTAATCAAACAGATGATGAACACTATTAACAGCAATGATATGCACGATACAAGGAAATGGTCAGTAACATCATCACTTTGAGGTACGATATCTATATCAATAAGATCAATTCCATGCGATATAATTAAATCTAGCATATGATTAAAACGATGAGTGGGTCTGGATATGTTTTGCTTGAATCCAAAAGAGTTAATTAAGTCTGTAAACGCAAGTCCTAACGCATAATTTGTATTATCAACGTGAATGTTAAAATCTCCACCAATTAGCGCTTTAAATTTAAAATTAAAAACTGAAATGAAAGAAAATGAAATCTAATTCATAATATTAAGAAACTGTAATAGTATATCACTTTGTTTTGTAAGATTCATTTTGCAATAATGACTGTCTGACTTGCCAGTTAAATTTTTCGTTTAAGGAGAAGAGAGAGAGTTTACGGTGTGATATGAGATAAAACAGCTGCGTATCATTGAGACAATGATCAATTATCTATTTTACACTCCTTACACACACGAGAGACCACAGTGACCGTCACAATCAGATATATTCATGAAACAGCTCCATGTGACACAAGCAGGCCCAGTGATTCATTCTGGAGTTGTTGGAGTTGAAAGAGGCTGGAGTTCGTCCTTGTTCTCCCCTGTAAGTCAGGCGGTGTGTGAGGCTGTTAATTGCCGTAACCTTCATCGGCACAGGCACCAGTGGGAAAAAGCAGCAGTCGGCATAATTATAAAAGTCTTCCTAACTAGACGGCGGCTGAAGTGCGCACGGGCAGCGGCATATCATTGTGTTTAATGAGCTCCGATCAAGGGCCGCGCTGTTGGTAATTGCTGTAAAGTAATTGCTTTACAGTGGCTCTGGAGCTGGATTCATCTTGGTTGTTTGTGACAGGACGAGTCAGGAGAATTAGCGGCAGAATGCTGTAATGTCAGGGCCGTTTTGTCTTCAGTAACTCAGTCTTTGTGCTGCGGCCCGCTCTCATGGCGTCTCTCTTTATTTCTCTGCGGTTATTCCTGCTCGGCACATTGCCGCCACACAGCCAGCCGTTTGCATGTGCTTAAAACTCTTTAATGGTTTCAGCTTGATTTGCATACTGCACATATACCAGACTGTAATGGCAGTGGCGGCTGTGTTTGGTTTTGCTGAATGGATTATCTGGGCTTTTGTGAAGTGAATGTGTGTTTTGGTGATTAACGAATCTATTGATTTTTAAAGCAAAGAACAGCAGATGATGACCGCCGCGTGTTTCTTCTTTGTATCAAGCAGCATTTATTTGACTACAGCGTTGCATTAAAGGGTCAATAGAGATTCAGTCGTTATTCACCCTCATGTCATTCCAAACACGCATGCTGATGTGTTTCTGTAGAAAAAAAAAGACATTTGGAAGAGCATTTTTTGCAGCTTTTTAAGAATAGAGCAACAGTTTACTGTGACCACGACTGTCAAAAATACTGCGGTCAAACTTGGCACAGCAAAGTTTTTAAATCTAATTATAAATGAATGAGTTAATCAAATTTCAGTCTACAAAGTTTTTTTTTATTATTATTGTTATAATTAAAAACACTTAATGGTGTTTTTGTTTGTTTGTTTTGTAATAATAACATTGCATTATATGATAATTTTATAGTTACTTCTATTTTTCATTGTTGTTCTGTTCTGAATGCCATTAAATTTAAATGACTTGTTTTGGTGTGAGGGGAACTAAAATAGCCTTTGTTTATAGTTTTTATAATGTTCATAGTGTTTATTATTTTATATAAATTCTGAAATGACTAATCACATTATACACAAACGCTAATATACAGCAACAGCCATTCAGCTTTTGGGCAGCA